GGCCCTGGGCGCTGAGGGTGGTGCTGGGGGCTGGGCCGCGTGGGGAGGCCCTGGGCGCTGGGCTGTGGAATCAGTCACTGGCTGGTCGTGTTGCTCGCCTGTGGGCCGAGTGTGTTGTGGTCAGATGTGGGATCCCTTAGGGCTGGGACAGCGGAGGGCACCTTTCTCCCCTTCCTCGGCTCCCAGTCGGCCCCTGGTTGGTACCTTGGCTCAGGGCAGCCCTCTGGCAGGAGGACAGCGGGACTTCGCAGAGACGCCCGGTCCATCCCTGGAGGCACGGGCACTGGAAGGAGGGCCCGGTCTGGAGGCAGCGCGCATTGCGTGGGCAGGGCTTCTGGGCGCATAAGTCCATCAGAGTCTGAGGGTTTGCAGGGAGCGTGAGGCAGGACAGAGCACCAGGTCCCCGGCCCGGAGGTGGTGCTCTGCCGGCTGCAGCTCCTCAACATCCCCTCAGGCCGCCCCTGGTTTCCCTGCTGCCTCCATCCGGGGAGTCCCCGAGGCAGGCACCTCGCAGCCCCTCTTCCCTGCAGACCCCAGAGCCTGGACTTCCAAAGCTCCCCGTGTGGGTGCCTTGCCCACATGCCCCTGCTGCCACCTTTCAGTACCTGAGACCCTCTTACTGGAGCTCCCCAGCCCCCCGCCCCCAGCACACCTGGCTCAGAGCCTCACCTGACAGCTGCTTCCTGTGTAGCCAGCAGGGCAGAGGCAGCGGGCGCCCTGGGGCCCATCTTGGCAGGTAGCCTTGTTTCTGCAGGGGCTGGACAAGAGACGCACGGGAGGAGGCAGGTGCGGGGCAGGGGGAGGGCGGTCCCGGGGAGATGGGGCCGAGGGAAGGCCTCCCTCCGAGAAGGATGCCGGATGAGAGGCAGCTGGGCCCCAGAGCGGGTGGAGGAGAAGGGCCTTGCCCCTGCTCACCTGTCTGCGCAGCTGGGGTGGACCCTTCCCTCACAGCGTGGGCCCTGGAAGCCGGTGGCACAGAGGCAGGCGGAGGCGCCAGGCCTGTTCACACAGGTGCCCCCGTTGAGGCACGGGGCTGGAGAGAGGGGGCTGTGAGCCAGGGTCGGGTTTCTTGCCTGTAACCTGGCCTATGACCTCAGTCACACCACAGACAGGCCATCCCCCCCGCCCCCATCAGAGCACCAGCTCACTGTGCCCAGGTTTTGACTTTGGCACAAGCACCCCTGACCGCCGCCTGCGCCAGCCCCAGGGCATGGTGGGCGCTCACCGGAGGCACAGAGGTCGGTGCTGGTCTCGCAGCGGGCACGAGGACCTGGCCATGGAGAGAGAGCGGAGGCTTCTGCCTGGCCCCACGCCCTCAGCAGCGTCCCCAGTTCACGGTCTCCTCTGCCCGTGCCGGCCCCACGCCCTCAGCAGTGTGCCCTGTGCACGGTCCCCTCTGCCCGGGCCGGCCCCATGCCCTGGAGCAGCGTCCACGCAGAGCAGATGCTCAGTGAAGCTTGTCCGATGGGCCGGCCCTGGGATTCAGGGCTCTTCTCTCGGCCTTCGTCCCCGTTCTTTGTGATCTCCCTCCCTGGACCACACGCACAGGCCAGCCCCGCCGTGGCTGGGACCTCAGAACTCCGCCACCTCCTTGCTAGTCCCCGGGGCCTCCCACAGACCTGCGCTGTCTCCTGGCCTAGAGGGCGAGGCGAGCGGAGGGCCTGCGGGCCTTACCTCTGGCAGTGCCCGTGCCGGCAGGTGCAGT